TCCGTGGTTGTTCGCGCAGTCGTTGCGAGACCCCTAGAAAATTGGAAGGATCAATGAGTCGCTCCAAGATGACAAGAATGCGCTCTTGCTCTTTTGTTCGGTTTAGACTTTTTTCATTTTTACTTCCTTTTATTGAATGCACAATAATACAATTTTCAGGAAGGGGGAGCGTTATGAGCGTGCGTGTGGTCTGACGCAGAAGCGTGCGTGACCTGACGGGATGTTTTAGCTCCGTCCTAACACTTGCGACCAGATGTTACACAGTAAATCAGTAATACAATCTACGAGGTCATAGCCCTTTATCTTAAAAAGAGTGGAGGGGGTCTGTCAGATCCTCCTATTGTTCCTTTCTTCAGGGTCTGGATGAAAGCTTACTGTTTCTTCTGTGGGAGGTTCAAATGACTCTAACCACCGAGGCTCATTTACCACAAACGAGATGGTCTGGTTAGCGTCAGACAAGCTGAACTGTTTGTTGATGTACTCCGCCCGCCGATCAAGCCGCTGTTCCCTGTTGTGAAGAGCTCATCCACTTTTGTTTCAGGTTGTTTCACTAACTTGAGCTCGCCGACCTCCGGTGGTACGTAGTAGCTGAATCACTTTTTGGCCATTACTTGATGCAGCTGCTTCTTCCATTTCACTAACTGTTGTCGCCCACCAGTTTTCACGGTCCTTCTTGAGGTTCTGTGCGCTGATTTTGCAGACACCACCTTCCCTTTTTTATCCTTGCCGGTCGATTTGTCTTTTTTTTTCTTCGTCAGTGCTACGGCCTGGTTAGATATCTGATGCCTCGAACTCACTTCGGGTTCAGTGTAGCCAGTGTAGCCACATTCGGTATGCGTTTTGCACCTTCAAAGTGTAAAATGTTACTACAAGACTGGGTTGGTCCAGCACCCAGCCTCACTGTAACTGGGGAAGTAATAGAGCAGATGGATAAGTTTTGTTATTTGGGCAACTACATCTCACCCAGTGGACGCATTACGGATGAAGTGTCATCTCGCAAACAGAAGGCTCGGTTGGCATTTGCCAACTTGATCCATCTGTGGCGCCGTCGCGGCATCCGGTTGTCTGTGGAGGGTCAGGTGTATGCCGCGACAGTTTGGCCAGTTCTGCTATACTGTGCAGAAACTTGACCATTAAGAAAACAGGGCAAAGATAGACTGTCGGTGTTTGAACACCGGT